GAAACACTATTTTGCTTAAATAGTTATGCTTTGACCTACGCTGTTTTGTTGTTATGCCCTCTTTTATCTCAGTCTCCTTTTTTAATTACTTACTTTTTAATTTTTTTTAATTAAGGGAAAAATAAAAAAGTAGGATATATTATTATAGTAACCCACTTTGATTTCCTATTAACTTGATCTGAAACCCTGTATTGCCCTCACCATCTTGCTTTGACTGATTTTCCTCTATTCTGCTTTGCTTGATAGTACCAAGTTCGAAAGTATAGTCAACAACTGTAAAGACAATAAGATTCATTATGACGCCCGTTCCGGTTGACTATTATCTTCTTTTAAAGCCCTGTAATGTCTCCAATGTTTTGGTTTTATTCTTTACTGTTTTGTTCAATTTTATTATAACTGATGATATAAGCAATTCTTTTTAAGATAGCAAGAGGCAGTATGGTAGCCATTGTTGATCACCTAGTATTTTGTTTTTACATTATCTATTATGTCCATCCTTTTGGTTTGACTGACTCTGTTCTGTTATGTCACATTTGGTTTTATTCTCTTCAAAAAAAAAGTAATAAGAACTGTGGAAGTAATAAAACCCAAAATGTGTAATTGTCATTGTACAAAAGAAAGGAAAAGAAAGTGCTCTAAAGAATATAACTGCATGTATATTTAAGTGTATAAGATAGATAACCATATTACTGAGTCTTGTTGGATCATTGAACAAAACTGTTTCCAGTCTCACTGTTTGAAAGTCCACTTTATATGCTTTAATTTTGTAACTTGAACAACTATTTCTAAGATAACAATATGTAATCTATTAACTAGTGATTTCCTATTGGTTTTTTTTCTGAAATTCTGTATAACTTGTACCCTATTTCTGCTTTTTTTTCTTTTTCTCCTTAATAAAAAAAAGAAGAAAAAGAAAAGAAGTTGGGCATGGTGGCTCACGCCTGTAATCCCAGCACTAGGCAGGCTGAGGCAGGAGGATCATTGCAAGTTTGAAACCAGCATGGGCTACAAAGTGAGCTCAAGCCCAGCATGAATTGCATAGTGAGACCCTGTCTCAAAAAAAAGGACAGTCATTGGTTGGGAGAAAATATTTACAAAGCATGTTTGATAAGGGATTTGTATCTAGAATATATAAGTGATTCTCCAATGATAAAGAAAAGTCAAACTTCAAAATTGGAAAGCAATCTAAATAGATATTTCCTTGAAGAAAATACACAAATAGCAAATAAGCAAGAGCAGATTCCCAAATCATCATTGCATCTACATTAGAAAAATATTAATCAAAATCACAGTGAGGCACCACCTCAAACCCACTGTGATTGCTAAACCAAAAAAGACAGCCAATAACAAGAACTGGCAAGGGATCTGCAGAAACTGAAAGACTCACGTACTTCTGTAAGGAATGGAAAGTGGTGCCAACACTTTAGAAAACAGCCTGGCGATTCTTCAGCAAGTGAAATATAGAGCTAGCATATGACACAGCAATTCTACTCTTAGATTTACACCTAGAAGGAGGAAAAAATATGTGTATAAACTCATACACAAATATTCAGAGCAGCAAGTTCCAAAAGTGGGAACAAACTAAATGTTCCTCAGCTGATGGAGGAATGAATGGGTAGAGTGTGGTCTATGCATACAGCGCACTCTGCAGTGCTGATAAATGCTACGACAGGGCCAAACCTCGAAATGTAACAAAAAGTGAGAGAAATCAGTCACAAGGGACCACATAGCACACTATTCAGTTAATTTGAAGTATCCAAAATAGGCGAGTTTATAGAAACAGGAAGTAAACTAAGGTTGCCTACAGAGAAAAAAGGAATGGGGAAACTGGGGGATGAAAGGACAAGAAGCTTCTTTCTGTGGAGATGAAAATGTCCTAACTTATTGCTGTGATGGTTACATGGTTCTGTGAATGAATACACTAAAAACTATTGAACTGAATATTTCAGACAGCTAAACTGTATGATGTGTGTGTTTTATGTCAATCAATAAGGCTGTTTTCAAAAACTCTGCACGCTGACTTAATACCCAGTAAGTCCGTCTCTAGGTGTATACCTGGGAAAAATAACAGCACCTATTTGCACACAGACTTGTACATTATGTTTTTAGAATCAAATTTGTTATTAATTTATAATTTATTGTTATCATAGTTTATTGCAAGAAACTTTTTTTTCCAAACTGGAAATGATCCAACTGCCCATGAACACAAGAATAAAGAAATAAATTATAGTTATTCATACAATGAGACACTATCCAGCAGCAAATAAGAACAAATTATTGATACATGTGACAACATAAATTAATTTCAAAAATGTTATATCGAGTGAAAAAAAAACTAGACATTAAAGACATAAAAAAGAAAATAAAAAGTATACGCTATCTAGGCACAGTGGTACTCACATCTAATCCCAACTACTCTGGAGGCTGATTTGAAGTTTCAAGTTCAAGACCAGTTGGCAATTTAGCAAGACCCTGTCTTGATTTATTTTTTTTAAATTTTATTTAAAGAAAGACTAAACAAAACAGAAAATGGGTAGAAATAATACATATGTTCAGAGAAAAAATAAACAGTAAGAAATCACTAGTTAATGTTTACATACTGTCCTTTTACAAATAGTTGTTCAAGACACAAAAGTGGAACATATAAAGTGGGGATTCAAACAGTGAGACTGCAAACAGTTCTGTTCAACTATCCAACAAAAACTTAGTAATATGGTTGTCAATCCTATACACTTAAACATACATACAGTTATCCATATCTTCATTTATGTTGCGATTAAATAAACTAAAGCAGGTTAACATCACTCTGAACAAAGAATAACAGTATTGCTGGATTTCACATCATGACACTCCGGGATCAGCACTGGGGACGGCAGTGGCAAGACCCTGTCATAGAACCTGTCCTAAAGAGAACTACCTTGCATTTTCTGGTTCCATCTGCTTGACACAAAATTGGCAGAGTTGAAGGGGACAGAATGATACCTTGTAGGTAGAGAGGTGACCTGGTGATAACTTACAGGTACAGAGCACTTGCTGCCATGTGTGAGGCCACAAAAAATAAAGTACATAAAATGAATCTACTAGTAATAAAAACTTAGACAGCAGTCAGGAAGAAAAGGGGTTTTTTGAGAGAGAACCTCATTAAATTGCTCGGTTAGGGCTAAAACCTGGTCATTCTCCTGTCTCCGTCTCTAAGGGTGATTTTTTGTTTGTTTTCCTTGCGGTGCTAAGGATTGAATCCAGGATCTATATGTACTGTTATTCCCTCAGCCCCCTCATGTTAGATTTATTCTGTGACTTGTGGCTGAATCTAATTAAAACTAGTGTAGGTGATATTCAGCAAGTCACCAAAGCAAATGCATAAATGTGGTGGCATTTCATGGTATCAAGTAAAATTTTTTGACGAAAATATGCTCTGGGAAACAATGAAGAATATGATATATTCCATTCAAGACAGAAGTCATGAACAGGCATCTGGAAGAAGCTTTGTCAGGGTCTGTGCTGCAGCACAAGGGACTAGTGTATGGACTGAACCCTGAAGATACGGCAGCAGTTGCTGATATAGGAAAATGAAACGCAAATGCAGTGTCCTGCTGGCTAGCCACAGACTTTCTGTTTGGTCAGGAAGAGGAGGGAGGCTCCTTGAGGACCTGTGAGGATGCTGCAGGGTCAGAGTTGTCCAGGGAGGCTGTGGTGAGGTCATCTGGGGAAGAGCTATGACCAAAGTTTGCTGAAGCCAAATGCAGGTCTCTCGGAGCAGCCATGGGGCGGCTGGCCCAAGGCGCGGGGGCAGTGATGGAAGGAAAAGCCACGGGAAATACTCACGGGTCATGTCAGGACCTGCCCTCCTGTTCCACTGCCCTCTCCTTCTCCTTCTCTCCACTTTGTGTTTTAAGACTTAGACTAGCTAACTCAGCTTTTCCTCACATCCACCTCGGACCCAGGAATATCATCTTTTCACATTATTTATTTTTCAAATGAAGAAACTAATGCTTAGAGAGATTAAGTGAGCAGCTTAAGTTAGCGAAGGGCATTCTCTTCATCTCCAGGCTCCATCTCCACATTGAACATGATGAGACACCTCAATATCTAACAGAACATGACAAGCTGTGAGCACCCAGCACACTGTACAGGGCCTACAGGGCATTTGCACAAAGGAGTTGTTTGATATTGCTCAACAATTGCCACAAACAGCATTTCCAAATTTGGTGGTCTTTTTTTTTTGGACAGAGTCTCACTATGTAACCCAGGCTGGCCTCAGACTCACGGTGATCCTTTTGCTTCAGCCTACCTCACGCTGAGGTTACAGCTGTGCACCGCCATGCCTGACAAATTCTGTGGTCTTTCCCTTTTTAAACCATGTCCACTGCAGTATAAGCTTCTTAATGACTGAAGTGCATTTCCTGTTCTTTTATTTATCCACTACCACTTCATCCTCCAGTACAAGGCCTTTAAGGCAAGCACTCGACAAACACTGGCTCCTTTTGTGTCAAGGAAGTATATTCAGCCACCCATATTTGGATAGTACCCATTTTTTAAATCCTAACATGTACATTTTCCCACAATTTAATATTGGTAAAATCAAGAGTCATCTTTTAACTTAGCATCATCAGGTCCCAAACTAATTTGCAACACCTTTTCTTTCTTAGTGGTACACAAAATATGGGTGCATCTCATATTTGATGTTTTAGTCAGTGAAATAAATTATCATTCAAGTATCCTTGAGGATCGTGGGTCTTCCTGGCTCTTGGGCAAATCATTCCACATTCTCAACATTTCCTTAGTTCAGTTTTCCAGTCCTCTTGCTGGTGCCTCCAGTTTACATCCTGTAATTTTCTACGTTTCTCAAGTAAAGTGAAGACTATTATATTGCAAAGAATCACTGCTAAATACAACGTAGTAGCACAGTTACCATGTTAATACAAGGTGATAACATAGTTCACCACAACTAAACACTGTTAATGATTCTAAATATGTTTGATATAGAATTAACTCAAATATTCAACTGGCAGAAATACTCTTTATTTTCTGAATAACCAACCATATTATTTGAGCCAGAGTTTATGGAAACAGTATAGTTGGAAGCAGAGTAATGTTGGAATTAAATAAAATAACCACAGCAACACAATACATTTAATCACAATATAATTATCATTCCTTGAATAGCACTGTGGCCTGAGAAAATCTCTGAAGATTAAAGGTTTTTAAACAAGTCCAGATGCCTCATGCCATCCAAATACCCTCTTTATACACTTTCATCCTTTACTGATCTAGGAGGGGGTCTCGGGCCGGCCAAGGCCCTGAAGGAGAAGCTGTCTTCATTAGCAGTGCATGGAGGGGTCTGCCATGAGCCTCACACTGTGGAAAGAGCCAGCCTCTTATGCTCTCCTCATGCAGAGGACCAGTAAAATGGATGCTGTGCCTCGCAAACGCTATACACACAATTCCTGGCTTGTTCTCTTCCCTCCGTGCCCTCGTGCATCCTGATAGAACTTTCTGCCATTGCAGAAATACTTTATAGATCTGTACTGTCCAGTTCAGTAATCACCACAACTGGTTCTACTGAGCTGAGCATTGTATGGCTAGTGTAGCCGAAGAACTGAGTTTTCAATTTTTTAAAACTTAATTTAAATAGCTATGCGGCAGGTGGTTACCCTATGAAAAAGCACAAAACTAGCATGTACTGTGTTTTGAGGGGCTTTTGGGGTTGAGACGAGGTCTTGCTATGCAGCACGGGTCACTCGTGGCGGTCCGCCTACCTCAGCCTCCCTCCCATGTGCTGGGATTACAGGCATATGCCACCACGCCCTACTCTAGCATGTACTTTGTAGCCTCAATTTTTCTTGTCCATGTCACTGAATTTCTGGGGCATCTCAGTGGCTGTTTTCTCCATGAGATCCAGCCTTTTCAATGGGATTTATTCTTTCCCTCTTTGTAATTCTTTTCACATATTTGTGAAACAATTTGTGGCATCAAAACCTGTCATAGTTTGAATGTGCTCCTCAAAAGTTCATGTCTTAGAAACTCAATGGTATTTGGAGGTGAGGCTTTTGAAAGGAATTAGTATTAGATAATGCTATGTGGGCGGGTCCCTGTGTTGACATTAGTGGCTTCATAAGAAGAAGAGAAACCCAAACCAGCATATGCTCTGTCTTGCTATGTGATACCCTGCACTGTGTTAGGATGAGGCAGGAAGGTCTTCACTAGATGCTAGCAACATGCTTTTGGACTTCTTAGCCGCTAGGACTGTAAGTCAATTCAATTCCTGTCCTTTAGAAATTTCCTAGTTTCATGTATTTTGTTTTAACAACAGAAAATAGACTAAGACATTTTTAAATTATATTAATAACTTGATTTATGATGTGGGGTTTGGATCACAAGGTATCAGCTCAACCTCTAGAAGGACTTGAAACCAAGATCAGCCTTGTGTGAAGTCACCTATCTCCATGTGGCCAAACCCTTGATGAACTTGGGCGAGTTTCCTTAGTTGGCAAAACTCCAGGCACCCTGCCACGAATCACTGCTGGGAAAAATAAGCGTAATCCCCGTAGCTCCAGTAGGAGGGGACATCTCAGAGATCTGTGTCTGTCTTTCCAGAACCCGCCCTGTGAGCTCGTTTCCCTTTGCTGGTTTTAGTCTGAATGCTTTTGGTATAATAAACTGTAATCATGAGTACAGTGGCTTTTCTGAGTTAAGAGAATCCATCTAGAGAATCTTTAAGAATCCTGAGAACAGTCTCAGGAATCTACTGAACTTGAAGTCACCTGAGAAAATAGATGCCTTAATGGTACCTGCAACCATCCCAAGTTGAGAATTCAGCTTCTTGAGTCACGCCCCATCACACAAGCTTTGGAGTGGTGGACAGTAGAGATCAAGGATGGTGGCTGGAGACTGGGCCTCAACACGGGCAAAAGACTGATGGAGCAAGTGTCTGGCCCAGGTGCACACATATATGCAAGAGAAATAGGAAATGAGTGGAGGACTGACCCATGGGAACCGAGGAACAGGGCTTTGTACAGCAGTCACATGGCCAGTGATGGCCAAGAAGTGGGAGGGTCAGGTGGACACAGCTCCTGCTTTGAAACTCCTGGAGTCTTTACGGTTCACATGCACCCCGGTCCTCAGGAACTAATCTCTGCCCTTGGGAGTCATGGTGAAAAGCAGATTTTACAGGCTGGAACTTGATTTTAGGCTGTTTTATGCCCTCTTGCTAATGACTGTTTTTCTACTCTTGACCCAACATCTAGACTCTGGAAGGAAGCTGGTGAGGCAGTTAGACAACAGAGTGACATCCTTCAGTGAGAAGGGGATCCACTCCCCATTTTTATCCTTCTGATAAAAATCAGAACCACCTAAAATTCCACCAACTAGAGATGCACCTCAGTTATCCAGAAATCTCCTAAAACAGTATTAAGAGAACTGGCCCTTCCCAACTTAGTGTAGATTCAGTGAGTCAGATAACCTTCCTCATTCTGAGCATAGAGTCATTACAGGGAAGCGTCACTAGCTTGTGGAAGGAAAGAGAGATCATTCTCAAGTATGGGCTCTTCTGGTTAGGGTAGGGCTTTGGACTTGGGCACAAGCATAAGTATCATCCCTCAGGATACTGCTCTGCTGGAGAAGGAGGAAAGAGTCTAGAAACAGGTAGGATGATGCTCCAAACGGATCTCCGCAGCAGACCTGTGCTGGCTTCCTCCTTAGACCCCGTGCTCCCACTGAACCTCAAGTCCTCGCCATAGTCTCCGATGGATGTTTGTCCTTCATGAAGATGCCAGGGCAGGAAGCACCAAGCTGGCTTCCTGAGGACCTCAGAGGAGCCAGGAAGTGACTTAGGGTTAGAGCAAAAGCACCAGTAAACAGAATGGGTCTACGAGGTGAGCAGGGCAGGGAGAAAGGGAAGGGTACAACTACATGAGGAAGTGTGAAGAATCAGCACAGTTTAGAGAAAAAGACGAAGGTAGGTTCAGTATTTAATGAATGGTTAGTGAAGGGATAACTGAATACTCTCCCCTAATATTATACAAGCATGTGGGTTAGTTACAGGCTTCACAGAGGTCAAACCGTTTCCTGTCTAGGGGTCGGAATTTTACTCTCCTTGGTAGGCGCTTAATCCTGTTATATGAGATCCCCAGATTTTTGTTGTTCCTGATTTCCTATCACCTACCCAGAATTTCCCTAAGGTTGCCCTTCATTTTTCCTCCCAGTCCACAACTGAAGTCTAGGCTTCATGAGGGTCTCAGAACATCTAAGAGGCATTTGAGTCTCTTTTTTAATGAGAGTTCTTGTGATCAATTTCACATGCAAAAACAGAAGACAGTTCTGTTCAGAAAGATATAAAGCATGACACAGAACACGACATAAACAAGGGGGAAGCCCATGAGGTTAGGGTGAGGATGGCGGTGGGCCCCTTGGTTCCTCTGAGACAGAGGTGCTGTTGCTGGTGGTCCAGGAGCTGCTGCTCCATCTGGTGTGAGGAACATGGCCAACAGGTCCCTGTGTCCGCCAGTGAATGTCCATACCAGTTTCTTGCACGGCCTTGGACCCCTTAAGAAAATACTGACCAATATATTAAGTTGAAAAATATATAGGAGGCAGGGAATACCAACCTGGAGTATTTGTCAATGGCGTGGGTGTTCTGGAAGAGACGAAGCCCCACCTGGCTCTTGAGAAGTCTCTTCTTCCTGGCGGAGGATTCACTGCCCAAGGCCAGGTGGACCACTATTTTGTCTTGCCTTTCTTCTGTCAGAATGTGACTTCGTGGGTTCCCAGACAGGCTGTTGGCCTCAGACTCACTGCAGCTTCCGTCCAGTATCATGGTGTTTGAGTGAGGCATTCCACACACGCATGGGAACTACAGGCAGCAAACACAGAGGGCTCAGTGGAGCTGACAAAGGAGAGCAAAGCCAGACTGCTACTCAGAAGCAGGGAAAGGCAGGAAAAGCTACAGGAACTTCCAGAGAGCATTTAGTTTAGTGATTCTATATTCTGGCTGCATAGAATACCATGCCCAGGCTCCACGCCAGCTAATGAACTTAAAACTCCCAGGTGACCCTACATGCAGCCAGAATGGAGAGCTTCTGATCTAGTCCAATTGCAGAGGCAAAAACTGAGACCCACTCCCGTGAGCCAGGGCATCCATTGGGCTGGAGGAGAACCAAGAAGCCAACCCATGAGCCCTCCCATGAGCTGCCAGTACACAGGCTGGGAAACAAAAATAATACCCCCCCCACCAAGCAACCAACTGACTCAGAGGAACACAGGCTGAGATGATTGCAACTGAAGCACAAAAATAGTTTAATCCTTGTATTGTTTGACTGACTTTGCAGGCCTAAAGCCAGTAGTCTGAGTATCTATTTAAAAGATAACAATATGCAAAATAGCGACTATGGAGAATTCCCTTCTGTCTTGGTTTGAAATCCAATATTGTTCTCATTGTTTGTTTTTTGCTTTGTTTTACTCCCTTTAAAATAAAAAAATTAAAAATAAAAAACTGAGACCCAGAAAGCTATACCCTCCTCCTGAGGTCACACCATGTCAGAGCCAGGAATTTAGACTCACATATTCTGATCCCACTGCAGGTGTCAGAAGATGATTAGGTGGAAAAATACCCTTATTCGAAAGACTTAATGTAAAAATTAAGGGTCATGGTGCCTATAATTTTTTTTTTTTTTTTTGAGACAAGGCCTTGCTATGAAGCTCAAGTTGGCCCTGAAATTGTGACAATCCTCTTGCCTCAGCCTCCCAAGTGCTGGGGAATCACATCTGGTTATAATGTATTTTTAAATGTTTGAGCTGAAGCAACAAAAAATGTTTATATGGGGAAAGAGGTCACACAAAAATGGCAAAACATTAGCAACACTGGATTTGGGTGTGGAGTATTTGGATTATAGTTCCCCATTCTTTGAATTATTTCTTCAAGCATAGAAATGTTTAGAAGAAACTCTACATTGGAGAGGAAAAATTATTTCCTTTGACTTCTGTCCTTAGAGTCAGCAGAACATGGGTTCTCAATGGATGTCTGGACTGGTTGTGCCAGCTGAAATACAAACCTGCTGACACAGGTGACAGGATGAAATTACTCCCTTCAACTTGTCGACTTTTTTTTTTTTTGTCTTTTTCATTTTTACCAGTACCGGGGATCGAACTCACGACTGCCTGCTTGCAAGGCAGGCATTTATGCCTGCTGAGCTAAATCCCCAGTCCCTAACTTGTCGACTTCAATGGCTTCTAACCAGGGCGTCTGTTTTTACTGTGTTGGCAAGTGAAATAAGCACAACTACAAATCGCCTCCTATTTCCATGTAAAATACCCAGATAAATATCATAAGGCTTTTGCATGTTAAAACAGATGGTTATAAATGAAATTAAAATCACTTGAAGCATTCGTATTTATACTTAAGAAATCATTTGTGGTTTAGGGGCTTTTTTTTCTTAATCATGTATGAGTCCTTCATTATATTTAAGCCTTGACTCATCAGCAGCAGTAATTAAGTAACGCATGAATGCATTCCTGAATAATTAACAGATTCATAGCTAGAGGAATAAACGGATAAGAGGTTATCTAGTCAGCTCTCAAACTTTGATAAAATTGTGACTCTTGTCACTGGAGGTTTTTATGTACTTATTCAGTAAAGGCACAGGTCTTTACTTCTTTGCTGCAAACTGAAATTCTTTTTGCTAATGTGCAAACACCTATTGCCCGAGATTTAGTTGCCTGAGTCAGGAAAAAGTGATAATAGGTTCCTGTTTTCCACATCAATTTGTTCCTGAGAAAGACAAGTGGCGCCTGGTGTGTTAGACAGGTCCAGATAATCAGCTCCTGTAGAGAGTAGCTGAGGGGGAGAGGCTTTCCTTGTTCTTCTTGTGAATTTATCTATTGCTGCAGAGCTGCAGATCAAGCCCAGGTTCCTGCAAGAACGAGGGCGGATACCCTACCCCTAAGCTAACATGGGCCTTTATCTCAAACCACACGCTCATGGCTCCCACTCGGCACCATGAACTTTGCTGGGGCCAGTTTCATGATCATCAGTATTGGTTTCTTTGTGGGGCAGCAGGAGGGAGACTCTGTCTTTCACTGCTGTCTGCCCTCCAGCAGCTGTGTATCAAGGTCTCTAAATTGAACCTACAACCCCAGTGGAATGTAAGCTTTCACTCCCCACCCACCCTCCGTGTCTGTCCTCCCGCAAAGTGAGACAGATTTAAGGGCGCAATGTCCCTTCCTTTTATGATATCCTTGTTGCTTTTCAGTGTTTTATAATCACTGGCAAAGACCAGGACCCACAGAACAACAATAGGTTAATGAATTCCCTGAATGTGAGATCTACACTGCTAACGGATCAACAGCTCATGTCACATGAAGGCTTTGCTAGTCTTTGAAAAGTAAAGCCTAATGGATTATAAATCAAAAGTGTTTAAATATAACCCAAAGGCACTTGATAAAAATCAATGTGCAAATTATTGAAAACTCAAATACTTAAACGTTGAAATAAAACGGTTCAAATAGTTTTAAGATAAATTCCTAAATGATAATACATTTGGATATGATGTAGAAATATTTGCCAGAGGACAGGGATTTAATCAGCTGCACAGCGCCTGCCTGGCAAGCATGATATGTCAATTTGATCTCTGGTACCAAAAAAAAAGTTGACAGGCATGAAATGGGCATTAAAAACCTTTTTTAAAAAGGAGCAAGCAAGCCATGGTGGCACACACCTGTAATCCCAGCACTCAGGAGGCGGAGGCAGGAGTATTGCCAGGAATTCAAGGCCACCCAGGGCTACTAAGTGAGTTCAAGGCCAATTTGAACTGCAGAGTAAACCCCGTTTTAAAAATACAAAAAAAAAAAAAAAGAAGAAGAAGAAGAAGAAAGAAAAGGAAACGTGTCCTTTAACTGATCACCATTTGGATTAATGCAACGATTAGCAATGCTTTGGTGAAAATTCAGCATTTGATTTCTTATTGTGATTAGTAAGAATTGGAATATGACTGAAATAGACTCCTTTCTATTCCCATGGACGTTGCTTTATAAAATTTCCCATTTGTGTGACTTCGCTGTATAGTGCGGCACAGTGCAGTACAGCATAGATAGTGTAGTTGTTCCAAAGAATCTAAAGAATGAAATACAGTACTTAGCCTCCATCTTAACTGTGGCTGAATTCTCACTGCCTCAAGCCCTTTATCAATAAAGGAGCATTTTGTTCTAGGCTCTGCCCTCCTCTGGTCTTCCACAGATACGCTCAGAACAGTGATACTGTATGTGTGTCTGGAACCTTGGTGTCCAAAGCAACCTTCACGCATGCTATCTCACATGCCCTTATAACAACTGTGGGCTGGAGGTGGGATCCTCTTTTTGCAGGTGAGGGAAGTGAGACCCTGCTGAGGTGGCAAGTTGGGCCTCCACCCAAGTCTCCCAAGCCTTTTTCCAAAGACTTTCTGCTTTCTCAGATCCTTTGTAGCAAAAGCTAGAATTCTAAAACAAAATAGTTCTGACTTCTACATGCAATTCCTAGGAGAGGCTCAGCCATGTGGCAGTCTCTGTCACATGAAAATTACACACACACACACACACACACACACACACACACACACACCCCACCTATGTGACGAGAAGAAGCCCTTGGTGGAGGACCATGCTTCTCCCTGGGGTCTTCATGCTCCTGTGCCTTTAAGAACCGCAACAGGTGGCTCCCAGCAGCTGTCCCGCCCCCCTCAAAAGCTGCCTCCCCTCCACAGTGACTGTTACTAGGTCCCCCTCTTTTCTAAGCTGAAGAGCAGCCTTTCTTTGGGCAGCACAGCTGAAGCTAGAATGGTCCTAGCTTTCTTTTGGATGGGAAAACTGAGTCCCCAGGGGCGAGGAGACATGGCCAGTCGGGGGTGAGGACTCTCCATCAGCCTTGGCCTCTGCTCTCCTAAAACTATATTTAGGCTTGAACTTCCAGCTTCTAATGTCCTGTTAAAGATGGGGTCCCCAGCTCCCAGCTAAATAAACCTCACGATCCCACCTCACAGCACCCTCATTGTCAGCTTCGACCCCCAGCCTCCAGCCTAAGTCCCTCGCTTATGTCTCTGCCCCCCATTTCCAGACACTTTACCTGCCTCGAGCCCCATGCTCCTGGATCCTGAGCCCCAGGTCGCCAGCGGCTCTTCATGGGGACCTCCACAGCCTCCTCCCAGCATCTCCAGCTGTCCCCCTCACTCTGCTCTCCAAGCGGGTATTTACCCTACAATTCTTCCATGCCTCCCTGAGCATGTTAGTGTGGGCTACGGGGAGGGAGGAGGAGGAGGGAGAGGATGGGGTGAAGGCTCAGGGAATTCGACTTAGAGGGTCCCATCAGACCAAAGCCAGGAAAGAGGGGCTTCAGTGGAGAAAGAGTCAGGCTGGGGCAGGGTGAGGGGTCTGTGCCTGGACAAGGGGGGGTGCCCCTCCCAGTGGACCATCTCATTCTCTTCCAACCAGCACTGCTGAGCTGGGGCAATGGTAAATCCTCCCTTCACCTTGTCCCGCAGCTTCCGCTCCTTCCGCTCCTGCACGGTGGTCAGGTAGTTGACGGCCGCATACTCCAGCACCGAGAGGAACACGAACACGAAGCTGACCCAGAGGTAGATGTCGACGGCCTTGATGTAGGACACACGCGGCATGGAGGCGTTCACGCCCGTGATGATGGTGGACATGGTCAGCACCGTCGTGATGCCTGCAAAGCCCAGTCTTTGTTTAGCCACTGATGGTGGCACAGAGCCACCCCCAAATCTCACAGAGCCAGAATTTCACACACTCTGTCACTGAACTGGAATGCAAAATTGCCCAGGTGTGTTTCCACTTGGTTGAGCTGTGGGATTCTGCTCCTCAAACAGCTGGGCCTTTCCCACACCCTGGCCGCTTGTACTCAAGCAGTTTGGGACACTGAGTAGATTCTGTGACATGGCTGACAAGGTCAGGAGTGTTTCAAAAGCATCTTCTCTGATGTGGAATTAAAAACAGCAACTCAAAGCTGGGCATGGGGGCACACACCTGCAAGCCCCACACTCTGGGAGGTTGGGGCAGGTGGATTACCAGTTTAAGACCAGCCTATACAACTTAACAAGATATTGTATTTTCAAAACAAAAAACAAAAAAAAAGGGCTGGGGAAGTAACTCAGTGTAAAGGGCCTGTGGTCAATGCCCAATGCAACAAAAAAAAAAGCAAAAGGACACCTCTAAAAGAATTTTACCAAACCTCAAGCATATTCTCTCTCATCTAAGCTGCATTCATTAAGCCCTTGAAGATGTAAATTCCTGGAAGCCTACCACGCTGCTTCTCCCTGTGTCTTGCTGCTAAAACCCTCCATTTCTCAGAGCTCAACTGGATGTCAAACTGGATTCATAAATTATAAACTCTCAATCTGGAATTCAGGGTCTGGGAAGGGCTAAAACCAGAGCTCCAGGGAACACAGCCCATCCTTTTCCCCAAAACTGCATAGCGAGAGCCCTGCCTCCAGACCCTTGGTCTTTATAATCAAAGCCAACAAACGAAGTTTTCATATTTACAGAATAATTCTCTGGCATTTGCAGAGTCACCTTATGTATTTAAATACTGTGCGCTAATACTGCCAGTTGCCAATGTCTCTGCCCCAAATAGGCTCTGTCGTTATGAATTCAGTCCGGGTTGGTGGGGTTTTAGCTCCCCATTGTTTTCGTAACATAGAAGAAACTGAGGCTTTACCTGATGGTGCAGGCAAGAGACAGGAAGAAAAGTTGCTCCTTCTAACTCTACCTCCATCCACTAGGAGCTCCGAAGAATCACCTGAGTCTTCCTTTATCTAGTGATCATTTGAAACGCCAACCCTCTACTATGCCTATCAAATACTTTACCCAGGGAGACTCTTGCAGGCACAGCTTTGTGGTCAATCCAGAAGGACACCCAGGACAGCATGACCATCAGGGTGGCGGGGAAATAGGTTTGCAGCAAGAAGAAGAAGATGTGTCGATGCAGAGTGAAGTTGATGTACAGACGGTTGTACCAGCCTGGGGGACACACGAAGAAGCCAGTGAGGTTCCATCAGGAGTAAAAAAGGACTCCTTCCTGGAGCCGTCCTCCCTGAACTTTGGGCCTGGACACACAGGGAGGAGAATAGCACATGAAGATTATTCCCATCACCAGCAAAAAGTCAAAATGTGTGATCAGTCGACTTACTACAATACCCTTCTTTTCTAAAGTCTAAGTCTCTCTCCCATGAATAAATATCTCGTCAGTTTCTAGTGCATTTCCTGCCTTACGTTGTATTATCTAACATTTATAGCAGTTTGGGGAAAGGTAGAATAAAACAGAGGCATAGATTAGATGGTGGTTTGGTATTTGTTATTTGCAAACCACAATTGTATTTCCTGAGTGACAGGCTGCTCAGGAGCATAGTTGGAATTGGTTTCATTGTTATTATCGAAGCCAATACCACTGAAGCAGGAGCCAGGAGATCTGGGGTCTCCTCACTGTGGATGTAATTGTAAGATGGTTACTTGCTCAATCTCTATATCCATCTCAAGAAGTAACAGGCCACTCGCATGATCATAACGTCTGTCATATCTCTATTCATTGACACTCCAACTTCTTACAAGATACACAGAAGTTCTAACTCTTAGTACCTGTGAAAGTAGCCTCATTTGTAAATGGGGTCTTAATAAGGTCATACTGGATTAGGAATCCAATGATTGGTGACTTTACAGGAGAGAGAGCTTCGGGCCTGGACACACAGAGAGGAGAACAGCACATGAAGGTGCACCGCCTCCGGGCTGCGGTGTGGGAGGCCATGACAGGGGCAGAGATTCCAGTGATGTGGCTGCCAGCCAAGGAACACCAAGAATTGCTGGTAACTATTGGAAACTGGGAACAGATAGGAAGGATTCTTCAAAGGGAACATGGCCCTCAGATCTCTGGACTCGAGATTTATAAGACATGAATTTCTGCTGTTTTAATTATCTGGGCTGTTGGCATTTTGCTACAAAAATCAAAAGAAATGAATCTTAGAGTTTAAAGGTGAGGTTAGAGAGAGCCAACAAATGGATCCTCTTAAAACTTCAAAAGCAGCCCAAGACCCAAGTAAAGATTAAACTAAGCATAAGAGAAATGTACCTGTTGTTACTTGAGGTATAAGTCTTGGTGGAACATGTTGTTAGTATGCTCAGTACTCTAGGTTCAATTTCCAGAATCAATCAAAACCCAATAACCTATGGTATCAACATAGCTAATAAAATATTTCCTTGGAAGCCATCCATCCATCCATTCATCCATATTGGTAATCAGAACAAGTCAAGTTATAGAATAGCATCTAAAACTTGACAACCTCCTTGGAAAATTATACAGTTAAAGCTAAATACTCTGAAGACTCTGGTAATGGGATCTCAGAGGAGAACAATAGTTTTAATTATCCTGTACGACTTGCTTTTAAACACTATTTATATTTTGGAACTATGCATTGTTTTAACATTCAGACTTTATTTTCATTGGGAATATAGGAGTTTACAGCTGAGGAAGAATTATAACGCATTTTTCCCACATTTGAATCAAACTGTCAGAAGTTAGCTACCAGTACTGCTGTAGAAGGCCAGTCTCGAAGTTGTGTGAAATTTCTGAATCAAAAACTGAGATAAAGAGATCTTCTCGTCTGTTTTCAGGGATTCATCCCCGTTCTTCCAATACAGCATCAGATCTTCATCTGTATATGCATCTTTGGGGAGAGAAAAACAAGTTACAAGCTCCCTTGCTTCCAATGCAGCATGAAGCAACAGAGAAATCCTACAGCATCTGAGGGGGAAACAGGTCCTAAAGCTGGCAGGCACTACTCCGTCTCAAGGCAATTCCACTAGCAGAAGACGAGAGGAAATAAGCAAAGGAATTAAAAACACTGATACTTACAGCTCTCCAGCTCCAACGAGCAGGTCTGCGAGTCCAGGGGAAAGTGACTGAAATCCATGTTGCACATGGCAGTGACAGTAATCCTACATGACACAAATGCAAATGCTGGCTTATGTGGTGGGTTACCAACTCATGCACCTGCCCAGAGTTAGAAAGGTACAGAATACACCAAAAGCAGCTGCCTTCTCGTGTCTACTTTGTAAGTTTGGAAACATAGTCACAAAACCTTTATTACCAATGAACTAGTATTATGGACTCCTAGAGAAGGTGTTTGTGTCCAGCGACTCATTCTGATCAACGTAGTCTTGTAACCTAAGTTTATGAGCTACGGTGATGAGGAGGTCACCATCTATGGGGTGGTGGCCATTTCATCTTTAGACAGTTCTGACTGACATCAGAAAGCTTGTGCCACCCCACAGCCCACAGTGACAAACTCTTCAAGACCAAAGGGACTGACCACAATATTGGTATCATATTGGGCAAAGGGACAGTGGCTTTGTGAACAGTTACCTCATGCTGTACAACACGTGGCCATCTGGGAACACCCTCAGCATGATGTTGTCAGTGGTGGTGTCGTGGATGAATGACCTTTTAGAGTGAACAAAGAAGACGTCCGGGACCCAGATCTTCTTTACCAGGCGGCCATCGAAGGTCATACTCTTGTTGCTGGTGCTGGGGAATGCCAGCCTTTCGTCTTTCCAGTAATGTCTCAGATACAGGGTCATGGTGAAGTCCTGAGGAGCCAAGGGCAAGACCAGAGAGAAGTGACCTAGGGAGCGTCCTTCCCCACAACCCCATTAATACTTCACTGAGGTGGACACCTCAGGCTCAGTCATGAGTGGCAGTTCTGCAGCCCTGGCACAGTGGCCAGTGTCACGGCACTGCAGGAGACTAAACTTCCCATTCTCTAATCTTTGCAAATGAAACTGTAGCTGTAGCCAGTGTGGCAGCACACATCTATGATTACAGCCAGTCAGAGACTGAGGCAAAAAGATCCCAAGTTCAAAGCTAGCCTGGGTAACTTAGCAAGACTGTTTCAAAATAGAATAATTAAAAACCAAAATTTAAAAGGGTGCTGAGGATGTAACTGAATAGTAGAATTTGCCTAGCATGCATGGCCCCTGAGTTCAATACTTAGTACCACAAAAACAAAAAAACAAAAGCAAAAACTGTGTGATACCATCAGTGGCCAGCAGGGTGGGATTTCCCCCAAACCTTGCTCTCCCTACGCAGCATGGCTCCGTGGCTGCCGGGTTAACCATCCATTTTCAGCTCAGCGGTCTGTTCCAGAATCTGGCAGTCAAATGTCTCTCTAAGGAAGATTTCTACCACTAGACTTGTAAGATCCTTAAAAGCAGAATTGTGTCCTGCTCACCACTGAATTCCCATTCACCGTTAAATTTAATGCCTAGCGAGGGACATGCTAGGTGCTCCATAAATATCTGTTAGATGGAAAAGTGGGGAGACAAACAGATGAACAGCTACATACTTACCATAACTTCAGTCTGGAAACTTACTCTGTTTAAACCTATCCTTTGGCTCCATATTCAGTGCCTTAGATCAAGAGTTTGGTCTTCATGCAGTAGCCAGGGCTAAGACACAAGGACATATAGCAGACTGCCCAGAAGACCCACACTGGGAACAGATGGAGGAAGGATGGAGGGAGGAGCACAGACCTGATAGTGACAGTCCAAGAGAAAGGACCTAAGATACTGCCTACATGACAATCTGTCCCAGGACCGATCCTGGCCCCCAGTGCACCAGTGCTGGCCTCAAGCTCTCCTTCTGCTCACAAAGAGAGCATCTGCACGTGAATAGGAAGGGAGCAGCCAATACCTCTCCTAGATCACACAGCGTTAGGGCATGGCATTCTCCGGGGACACTGTCCCCAGGGAAGCACCACATTGCAGATGTGCAAACCGGCCACACACAGTCAGCCCAGATGGTACCTACCTCCCACCTCTGTGATGGCCTCATATGTTTGGAAAGTGACTGGGTCATGAGGCCACTATACTCATCAGTGGGTCCATCCATTCTTGAGTTCACAACTGAATGCTCTCTTAGGAGGCGGGCCTTTCTGGAGTAGGTCACTGGGGTTGTTTCTAGAAGGACTCCAGTTCCTTCCTTTTTTTCTCTGCTTCCAGGCTGCCAGGAGGTAAGTACCTTTTGCTCTGCCATTCCCTTCTGCCATCCTGCTTCTGCTTTGGATTCAGCAGACCATGGACTGAAACAGTGAGCTAAAATAAACCTCTCACCCTTTAAGCTGTGACATCAGATATTTCATTTCAGTGATAGGAAAGCAGCTAAGACAAGCTTTTCTGTGCTGAAGCCCTCTTGCCTTCCCATGAGTTGGTTGCTCTATGAGAGGGAAGACTTTCTAGTCGCCTCTCCCTGGTATCCTGAGCCACACTTGATGAAGGGTCTTCACATCTAAAGTGGACAGCTGTGTTTAGGTTTAGACCAGTCAAACTATTGGATATTTAAGGATCTGACAGTGTACACTCCAGCATATTGGAGACTGTCACACTCATACCTGACACACTCAGACCCCATCCTTACCAAGTGTGGGAGCTCTGAGGCGTACATGGTATTAGTATCATATCATCTGTACTGTGCTGGATCGATTAAGACCCAGGAAGCTCCTTCAAGAGCACATGACAGTACACACATGGGAAGAAGAAACACTCCCCGCTTCTCTTCACTCCACACATGTTTTAAAGGCCCCCAGTGGTTCCATGCGAGGCTAGGACAGTGAAAAAATAACTTCCTGCATTGATGGAAAATGACCAGTCAAGTGTGGAAAATGACAGCCATACAAGAAACCCTCCAAATACAAGAAGCCCCCAATAAACATATAGGATTGCACAATTACAAATAATGACAATGTAGGCTATGAGGGGAAAACAGAAACCACTTAGATCAGGTGGCCAAGGGGACCTCTCTAAGAAGACCCGCCTCCACGGAGACCTGAGGGATAAGCAGGGGAGATCAGAGAGAAGCGCGTGAGGTCCCTGAGGCACAAGGGAGAAAACTTGCCAGTGGAAACAGGGTACAGAAAAAGGAAGAAACAAAGTGGGACAAGGCTGCTCCCCTCCAAGGCAAGACCCCGCAGGGCAGCCGGGCGGTATATTTGTGTGGCAATGGTACAGAAACTGGCAGGGGAGATAGCGCCACAGAGTTGAATATCAAAGAACTGCACAATTTCTACCCAAATATCCACCTCCAGTGCTCTTCCAAAGTGTGTTTCACAGGCCCATTTGCTCACTTTGGGTGTGGGTTGGAAACATACGACACAGGTCTCATTCCCAGAGATCCTGAAAGCAAGGGATGGGGCCTGGGGAGCCTGTATTTTAACTAACTCCTCAAAGTTATTTTTACCCACAAAGCTTGAGAGCCCTGCTCCAGATTTTGCTGTACCTGAATCAACTTCCAAGTCTCTATTTGTCACCTTCAGCTCCCACTACGTGCTCACAGGCCCAGGTTCTCCCCCACCCCAGGCCACCCCGACACACACTCTCGCTTCTGCTGCATGATATTCCCCGGGAGCTGCAGCCCTGGGCATGCATACCATGTCCACCTCGGAGATGCTGTCCAGGCTCTCCACCTGCACGTCCACACCCACTGGGATGGCAGGGCCTGCAGAAGGGTAGAGACATCTGGTTAAGGCCAATTCCTCTCTGCCTTGAGTGAAGAGGCTGCCCCACCCTCTTGACTACAGCAGGGGTGACAAAGTGGTTCGCAATTCTGTGCCAAGACCCTGGTCATTTGTTGTCCTGGTCACTTTCTTATTGCTGAGACACAATACCCAACTTCCACAATCTAAAGGAAAGGTTATTTCGGTTCACTTGTTTTTAGAGATTTCAGTCTTATTAGAAGTGCCATGGGGAAAGAGCCTGCCATGCAGGAAAGCTGCTCACATCATGAGTCCAGGAAGCAGGCTGGAAGAGGAGGAGCTGGGGAGCAGAGTAGCAGTCCCATAGCCATCGCCTTCCAGAAACCTCCCTTCTGAGCACAACAGGCATCAGGGACATCCCAGATCCAAACCACAGCGCCCTCCAACATCCAGAAGCACAGAATGAAGCCCAACGGCCCCTACTTGGGGCTGGTTCACCTGCACGCCGGGGTTTTGCACTCCCCCAGTCACTGGCATTCTGTCTACAGAGAGCCCAACATGGAGCAGGGGTCCTATCTTCTAGAAATGTCCATTCGTGGGAAACAAGATCTCTGCAAAGTTAGATCACAGCGAAAGACAACACTATGCAAAATATGGAAATCTTTCAGGAAGTGTAGCATAGAAACTAGCATTCAGTTTCATCTGGCCCCTAGCAAGATTTCTAAAACTGGAAAAAAACAAATAAGGTGAGATTTCTAAAACTGGGTTCTTCTGCGAGGTCCTAAACTTTTCCTTGAACTGGATGATGGTTACTTTGGTGAGTTAGTTCACTTTGTGACAGTTTAGTGAGCTGTATATTAAAAACCCTGCACTTTTCTGTATATATTTTAGTAAAATGTTTTTAGGTTTCATATACAAAATTTAGGATAAAATTTTAAATCTGTGTCTATCAAGCATATTAACAAATTTCCTTGTAGCCAAAAAAAATGTTTCTGGAAAGTCAAGGGCTGAGCCTCCTGAGGAGAGGCCATTGTGAAGAGTTGGCCCCTCTCTACTGAGCCCCTTTAGCCCTGACTGGGAAGGAGAAGACCTCTACTCTTGGGTGGCCAAGCAGGGAGACCCACAGGGACACAGTACATCTGGGTCTTAGGAAATGAGAGGAACCAGAAAAGTCTGAGGGTTTGGCTGAGAATATGAAATAAGAACCAGAGGTCTTGACAAGGTGGAATGAGGAGCCAGAAGGCTTATTCTTCACCCAAATGTGGGGTGAGGATCCTTTGCAGGTGGCCCAGGACACTGGATGCTCTCATCGACTCTCCCCAAATCTTCCCTAAAGACTTGCTAACCCTTGAAATTCTACCACTGAAGGCTGCATTTTTTTTTTTGGCTGAGCCCAATAGAATAGAAGCCTTTTATTCTTACAAGACTAAGAGAATGTTGTGTTCTTAAACATGCAAGCAAATGAGTGCAATTCTTTATTTTTTTATTTTCTTTTTCCCTCTTAGATAAAGCAAGAGTGTAAGTTGACCTTTCTGGTTTACTGTGTGTTCTCAACTGACGGCATGGATTAAGGCCCATGTGAAATCCCTCCTCTGATAGCATCTTCTGTTCTTATGACGGGCTCCAGAGTGCTTTGAGGGTATCAGAAGTAAAATGGTCAGTGGGGAAAGAGCCCCCCACCTCAGGGCCACCTAGCCTGCACCCCTCTTTCCCCAGGGACTTATAATGTGAGTGGGGAGGATCTTCAGGAAACCTGGCCCAGACCCTCCCAGTACCCTAGACCCCCACAGGGTGGCGCAGGTAGGGACCGAGGCTGGTTAATTTACCTCATCTTCTGGGACCCTTCCTTAATCTGAGATTTTTAAAATGGCCCAACATCAGCTTGGAAACTCAGGGCAGCACCCCCTCTTCTTCCTTTTCTCTAAAGTTCCAGGTGACCTGCTACATGGCTCCAAGAACCAAAGGGGAAAAAACAATACTCTCTTTGGACAAATGTCTAGTGGCCTGGTTTGTAGATAATACCCTCAGTGTCTGACCAGTTTGGCTCAGAGCATTTTCCAGATGAAATATATCAGCGTGCGTGGTGTCTGTTACTGTGCCTCTGTTCTCAGTGCCTGGCCTGCTCTCCACAGCTCCAACCACCCCTGTAAAGGGAAATTTGACAAAACCTTGGAAGGATCAGTGCTTTCAAGACATTGCCTACGTGAAGTGCAGGTCAAGACCTCAGGGGCCAGGTACTGACAGCACGTGCTCTGGTAGAATGTGTGTTCAGGAGGCTACGGAGCTGCTTTGCGGGGAACTCACCCCTCAGGCTCTAATAGAGTCAGGGGCCCCATTTCTGTCTTATGAGCTCTGCCCTTGCCCCTCCTCACTGCCGCTCACCTGACCTCTCCATTTTGTGGCCCATCCGAGGCTGATTTTAGCTGAAACTCCAAACCCAATGGTTTTTCTCTCCATTCATTAATAATTTTTTGTTTTGAGTGGAGCTGAATTCTATCTGAGAAGGGAAATTCTACTCTAAGGGCTGAGGATCCCTCAGTGATGGAGCACTTTCTGGGCAATATGAAGCTCTAGGACATGCTGCGTGTTGGGGAGACAGGGGTGATGTTACAATTATTGTGGGGGTTGAAAAAACTAAAATATCTTTGAATTGCATTATCCAGGAGAATAGTGACAGTAGCTGATTAACATACAAGTATGACAAGCCAATGTTTTATGTCATTTTCATTTCTGCAGGATCATCAAGAAATAGTAAGACAGAATGTATTTCACCAAGAAATAGTAAGCGTGGGGATTAGGGATACAGCTCAGCAGCATAACACCTGCCTGGCAAGTGCAAAGTTGTGAGCTTGATCAACAGTACCAAAAATAAAGAAATAGTAAGAGTATATATTTCCCAAGTTGAAATAATCAGAAATAATTCAAAAGAAAGCAGAGAGAAAAATAGGAACAGAGAATGGATTGGACAATAGAAAGGAAGTAGCAGAATATTAAATGTCAGAAAGCAATTTCAACAGATTTCAAAGGACTAGAATTTATGTAAGACATGACTTTAATGAGCACTGCAAATTTATAATGAAAACATAACTAGAACCAGGCATGGTGGCACATATTTTTAGCCTAGTTCCTGGGGGTTGAGGTATGAAAATCTCGAGTCCAGCAGCTCAAAATTACCCTAAGAAAACTAGTCTGAGCCTGTCTCAGATACAATATACACAATCTCCACATATTTGGAAATTGAGGAGTACATTGAAAACTCCACTTAATAAGTATAAACTAAGTGATTTTTAAAATACATATCACAGGGGCTGGGGATTTAGCTCAGCGGCATAAGCGCCTGCCTTGTAAGCAGGCAGTCGTGAGTTCAATCCCTGGTACTGATAAAAAAAAAATGAAAAAGACAAAAAAATAATAATAAAATACATATCACACCCCCACCCCATTAGCAAATGGGAGCCAGAGGTCTGAGCATCTCTTGGGAGGTTGACCATATGCAATATAGCAAATATAGGGGATTTCCTTCTACCATTCTTTGAAGGCAAATATTGTTATCACTGTTTTGCTTTGTTCTGATTAATTGTATTGCTCTATTCAATATTCTGTTTTGATAAGTTCTATAATGTTCTATATTTGGCTTGATTTTGCTATTCCTGATTGAAAGGACAACTACTGTGAAGATAACGAGATATACTATGGTACCTGTTACTGTTACACTGGTAACCTGCTGTGACGTTCTGTACCAATTTTACTGCACTGTCTCAATTGGCTATGTTCTGTCTTGTTCTGTTGTATTTCGCAACCTTCAAAATAATAATAAAAAAAGAAAAAACAACAAAATTCATGGAACATGAATTAATTTTTGTATAGAGAAGTTTATAACTTTAACTGGAAATCAGAGAAACAAATGATTGAATTTAATAAGCTAATCATCTACCTTAAAAGTTAGGAAAAGTACCACAAATTAAATATATGGAAGGAAATTATAAAGACAAGGACAAAATATATTGACATAGAAGCAAATATACAACTAAGAGGGTCAATAAAACCAAATATTTATTCTTTAAAAGGTTGAATAAAATGATAAAACTTTGGCAAAATGAATTTTTCAAAATAGAGAGAAGACTAAAATAGCCAATATCAGCAATGAAAAAGACATCAATATCTATTTTGTACACATAAAAAAGATAAAAAGAGGTTCCTCCAAATAAATTTTGCTAATAAACTTTAAAATGTAGATTATATGGACAAATTACCATCAATATCAGTCAACATTAATAGAAAGCTAAATAGGAAAACCTGACAAGTGTTATAATTCTTTTTTTAAATTTAAGACTGTAATTAAAATTTTCCTGCAAACAAAATAACAGGTCTACATGGCTTCTCTAGCAGTCTACTCAAGAGTTAGGCAGCATTAAGAGCAATCTTATATGTACTCTCCTGGAGAATATAAAAAAGAATATTAAATGAATCAAAAGAAGTATCAAATAATATCAGTTTATTTTATAATGTCAGAAAAGGACCACATGAACAAGCAAAATGATAAGTCACCCTCACTCTGGAGCACAAAATCAAAAATCCTGTAAAAAATATTAACAAATAAGCCAGGCATTGTAGCATGCACCTGTAGTCTTAACACTCTTGGGTGAGGTGAGCAGATCACAAATTTGAGCCCCCTTCGGTGACCGAGTGAGGCCCTGCCTCAAAAATTTTTTAAAAAATAAAACTTAAAGAGCTGGGATGTGTTAGCCGGGCGTGGGGGCTCATGCCTGTAATCCTAGCACTCAGGAGGCTGAAGTGGGAGGATCCTTGTGAGTTCAAGACCAGCCTGGGCTACAAAGTGAGCTCAAGGCCAGCCTGAACTGCATAGCAAGACCCTCAAAAAAGACAAAAAAAAAAAGAGCTGGGATGTAATTCAGCACATAGGCCCTGGATAAATCTCCAGTACCATCATCATCAAAAAAATTGTTTTAAATCCAGTAACAAATTTTAAAAGATAGCAAATAAGGTAAGTTCCAAAACTGCA